AAGGTGACCCTTATTTGGATACCTGCACATAAAGGACACCAGGGCAATGAAAAGGCAGATGGCCTAGCCAAAGAAGGTTCTAATACTGCGTTTGTCGGGCCACAACCGGTATTACCTCACTCTATGAGCACAGCGAAAGAGAGTATCAATAACTGGGGCATGAAACAATTCCTTAGGGAGTGGAATTTATCCCCCGGATACAGGCAGTCGAAAGAGTTTGTTAAGGCGATCAAACCAGCAGAATCGAAATGGCTATTCTCTATCTCAAGGAAGGGAATTAGGAGGCTGATAGGTATTCTGACGGGCCACTGCCCACTGAGAAGACACCTCTTCGTAATGGGTATCCTACCAGATCCCTTTTGCCGCTTCTGCGAAATAAAAGAAGAAACGGCAAGGCACTACCTCGCAGAGTGTGATAGGTATGCTAGGTCTAGATTTGAAATCTGTGAAGGAGAGGACATCACCAAATCACTCCCCGAGATAAAATGGTCCAAAATCTTGGGGTTTGTGAACAAGTCCAAGAGGTGTATGCAGGACACGTGAGCCGACCAAGTCCTGGACGTTTTAGGGATGGGGTATGGGCCTACCTAGGCATTTAACCCCTCGGGTCTTGGTCGCCCACCCTGCATAATATATATGGATTGCATGGACCTCAGCTTGGAAGATAGTGGGAACCAGGCTGATATATTTAACATTTCTTTTCGAATAACCTTGATTCAACAAAGTTGGTAGATGGTTAATTTTTTTAATTAAAAAAAACTTATTGATTATTAATCTGCCTTGATGCAGCAAAGGAAAGGCACTCCCAGATAGGGAAAGAACAGAACCCAATGGGTCCTCTCATGACTAGTTCTCTTGAATATTTTAATGCGCAAGACTTTATCAAGGAGTGGTCGGAGATGTAGTCGGTCACCATTGATGTCTCATACAATCTCACTAATAATAATAATAATGCTTTAATAAACATAAAAAAAAGGAAAAAAGACAATTTAGATTTCAAAGCATTTAAGGCCATGGATCCTGGATCCGTCTGACAGAGGTCATTGATTAAACAATCAGAAACGAAAAAATACATAAAATAAAATAAAAGTTATAGCCTATGCAATAAAAAGAAAAAAGGGAGAAACAACAACTGCCAAAATGCGAAAGAGAGAACAGAAAAAGAGGTTATACAATAGAAATCAAAAATTAAACTCATTAATTAATTCGGATCTGTAGTTCCATGCATGCCTAGCGTAAAGGATTAAGGGCCGCGAATTTGAGCCACTCAAAAACTGTAACAGGTTAACCCTGGAGAGAGTGAAACATCCGAGATGCAACAACCGAATCTCACCCAGGGATGAGCACTCCGCCAAGAAGTGGGATACAGTTTCAATAGAGCGCGAATTACACAAAGAACGTACGGGCCTGCCGGCGACATATTCCATGGCGTGATCTGATAGGACACTACCAGGTTGAGAGTTCGGCTGGGGCGGTACATCTGTCAAATAATAACGCAGGTGTCCTAAGGTCAGCTCAGCGAGGACAGAAACCTCGCGTAGAGCAAAAGGGCAAAAGCTGGCTTGATCCTGATGCTCAGTGCGCATAGGGACTGTGAAAGCACGGCCCATCGATCCTTTTGGCTTGAAGAGTTTTCAGCAAGAGGTGTCAAAAAAGTTACCACAGGGATAACTGGCTTGAGGCGGCCAAGCGTTCATAGCGACGTCGCTTGTTGATCCTTCGATGTCGGCTCTTCCTATCATTGCGAAGCAGAATTCGCCAAGCGTCGGATTGTTCACCCGCCAATAGGGAACATGAGCTGGGATTAGACCACCGTGAGACAGATTAGTTTTACCCTTCTAATGACATGTCATTGCTGTAGTAATCCTGCTTAGTACGAGAAGAACCGCAGGTTCGGACAATTGGTTCATGCACTCGGTCGACAGGCCGGTGGTGTGAAGTTACCATCCGTGGGATTATGTCTGAACGCCTCTAAGGCCGAATCCCGACTATGAGCAATGATACGCTGTGAGTCTCGTGAGTCGAAAGGCTCAAAATCATGCGACTTTAATAGGCGGTCTGTTAACGGGCCGTCGCATGTGCCGAGTGGACGGGGCGCCCATGCGCAACCGCGGGTCGGTATTCCGATCCGCGGTTGCGGCGCTCCGTCGTAACAAGGTTTGCCCTTCGGGAAGTTCGATGTCGAGACTCTGAATTGTCCATAGACGACTTTAGACAATCTAAGACGATTCTTTAGGAGAATCGGAGTGGATTCTCCTCTGTTAATATAAAGAGAGAGGTCGGACCCTTGGCGTTGGGTCCTGCTGGGGGTGGGCCCATTGTCGGCCCTGAACTCCTCTTGTAGCCACGAGCTCCTCGAGCCGCCGCTGCCTCTTGCGCCACAGCTAACCATTGAAAATCTCCATAATCCGTTTGAATCAATGCGAAATCGCAAATCGTCGCAAATTTCTGATGAACCCAAGAATTCTACACCACATACACTAAGAAAACCAACAAAGAAAGAAGAATCCCAATTCCCCTCTGATCCAAATAGCCGAGTTTAAGTGCAAAACCTCACTTCTTAGCTTAAATAGCCATCGCAACTCATTGAGACAAAGACCGTCAAAATTATCTTCATGTAGGTCGAACAATGCAGGAGAAATTTGTACCTCCTTGAAAAGTGTGAGATGCGTAGATGCTTGGACACGTGACCGGCATTCTTCGTGATGTTGTTTTTTAATTTGATTAATAAGAATCGAAAAATGATTATGCCAGTCACAGAGGTTGTCTAAGGATATGAGGAAGGGCAAGTTGTACTTTTCAAACAAATATTTCCTGTGAGCGAACCATGAAATATTAGTCTTTATGACCACCAACGATGTTATTTTTGTGTATCTAGTATCGGGAGACAGAACTTTCACAATATAGGAGTACTGAAGCGTAAGTGTATTCACCAAAATTAAATCCAAGTTGGCCTCTAAATATAATATATAGTTTGGTGTACCAGATGGCAATGCGAACAACTTTCTTACAAAAAAAGTTGCACTTTTTCTATTGTTTCAAACCTGTCGTATCCCCACATTTGACAGCCATAGCACAGAATTGCACGACTTATCGCCTTAAAAATATTATACTTGACTTTAATAGGGATAGTTTCTTTGAGTAGGAAGGCTGACCATGTGTTATTTAGACCTAATTTAGCCACTGACGCTTTCCAAGAGAAGTGCTTTGTCCAAGAGATTCTCGGGGTAAATATGACTCCTAAATATTTATATTCATTTACAATCTCGATGAGATTGCCCCTGAAAAAAAAATCAATCCAGAGAACAGCCTACCACCTCTCCTAAACACCATGATTTTGGACTTCTCTAAATTAACTGTGTGGTTCCACTGTTCACAGTAATGTTCAAATAGTTTGATATTTTTAAGCCAGTTGCACTATCCGATAGGATAACTATCTCACTAAAGATGTTTTAATTTTATTGATTAATTAACCATTTGAAACTTATGAATGAATATGAAAACTTACCTTTTTTTTGGACTTTCATCTGTAGCCATAGACATCCATAGGGCGGAACTAAGTGTTTGAACCACCATTTCTCTTCAACAAATTAAAAACTTGGTTACACAAAAACTGCACAACATAAGAGTTTTTGGTCTAATGCAAAAAGCAAATTTTGATGATAAAATCCAAAGGCACTTAAAACATTTTTCTTCTCCTTCAAAGGCAGGTACAGCCTTAACAAGGTTATACTGTTGACCAAGGTTAAGGTTAAAAGAGCCAGCCTCTATGGTCTTTATGTGATCAATGGTCTATTTGGCAATCAACATTATTAACTCTCTTCTTTAATCTTAAAGATTTTTATCAGATCCCAAAGGTTTTTTCAAGGCTCCTGTATGTATCTTTAATGTGTCAAGGGAAGCAGGAACAAACTATGAATCCTTATAGAATTCCTAACAGGATACTGCAAGTTAAACGGACACTTAAAAAAAATAGGAATAATCCAAGATGGCACATGCAGATTCTGCAAGGAGGCAAAAGAGACACCAACACATTTACTAACAAACTGCGGAGCTACACTAGCCCACAGGAAGAAATGTTTTGGGATGTATAATGTGACCATAGAAGACCTTCAACCATTGAAACTGGGCCTACTAATCAAGTTCCTTGATGACATAGGACTCCCGATGTGCTTTAGGCAGAGCACGGGGGATACAATAGCTCTCAAAGGGCGCAGTATACTACACCCCGGAAATATATCTACATCTACATGTATCTTTAGCAGGAATAGATTGCCTTTGCAATAATTTGCTGTTTATTTTTCAATATCTGCACAGTCTTTTGTCTGCTACTCAGAGTCTATATGCTTCCAGAGTTGCCTGTAAGCATTGGTTGAATAAACATTGCATCATAGTGTTCTTATTTATGTATATAAGAGGATTTGTGAATGAGCTGGTTCTGAAGGATGGCAAATATCTGTTCTATGCTGATCTAAAAATATTCCGGACTGCATTTCTCTTCAGCCATCTCACTTAACCTCCTTAACCTAAAAAGTATTACTTGATGAGATCTATCAAAGCAAAACTGCACGGGAGTACGTGGCCACAATGGTTTAGGCTTCGGCACGGCGTTCATCTCTGTAAGGTAATGTAAAACTGTTCTCGACCAATTTAATGAATGGACTTCTACTACGTTTCTATTCAATGGTCAGACCTTCGTACGAATGTGGTTGCATTTGCATCTTTCAGCTGAAAAAATTGAAAAAACACAAAGGAAAATGATATAATAGGCACAAGAATTATCTTAGATTCTTTCTTTACTTTCAGCATTCCATGCTAGATCTTCCCTACTTCGAAAAATTAACCTAAATGAACCTTTCCTTTCACTACAACATAACAATTTGTTTATATAAATAAAAACTTTCTTTTCAATATTTCTTGTGAGGACAGCAAACTCTCAACACAGGATTGTAGTTATATAAAACAACAAACAACATAAAGCAAAAATATAAAACAAACAATATGAGAACAAATAAATAGTTTTATTTACATTTATATGTACAATTTCTTGTAAAAAGTAAAATCTATCATTTAGAGCAGTTCTACCTTTCTTTTTATTAATCACAGTAGATGTGTTGTGTTGAGATTAATTAATTTCTGACCCCTGACCAAGGCTTTGATCAGAAAAACCAACTCATCAGTCTTCTTCAGATTATAGGAACATTTTATCACTACTTCGCCATCATTTTTTTTTTTTTTTTTTAAGTTCTATGTATGATTTTTAAATATCAATTTGTGCAGCTTGAATCCGTTTTTTTATTTTATTCATAAAGTACAGTGCTGAGCCGTTTTTTGAATGTCGGAGACATCGGCTCCTTGTTTATCCCCTCGATTATCAAAACAGGAGAGTAGATGTTCAATTTGCGGAATTCTGGGAGAAACGTGAGGACGAGGATGCTCTGGGTGAAAGCGAGCAGCCATTCGGACGATGTACTTAATAAGTGCCATAAGTAACCGCCATCGCTCGGAAGCCAATGTCTGGAATCTTTACCTGAAATAAATTTTCACTCAACTATAAATTAAATGTTTACGATAAATAATTACAATTTATTGTATTAAAATCCCACGGAGGGGGGAAAAATACAACAGATTCTAAATAACATTAGAACATTATTTACCGTCAAAATAATTTCCAGATATTACTCCCGGTACCAATGCTGACACGCATGTTATGATTGAAAAAGAGCACAAGATACATCTCACCCAGAACAAGTAGCTCGTGTTATTCATCTTCGCCATATGGTATGAAAATATAGTCTAAAAAAATAAATATTGTTAATTTTGAATTTGTATTAACTCATTCGATATCTGGCATAGCCTTGACTATGTAAATTATCTAAAAGAGAGAAAGTTGTCAAGTGGAGATTAGTAGACAGTGATAAAATAACATTATCACGGATATTTTTATGCCATCTTAAACATTATCAAAAATCAATATTTGATTACTTATCAAATTTCCATTTTTTAAACCGTTAGTAATTATATTTCTTAGGTGTATATTTATTATTTAGAATTGTGTGGTTGTTAGGTGGTTAAAAGTATTTTTTATTATTAATTAAAAAAAATAAATAAAAACTATATGTTTCATTTCTAATATAACATACAGTATAATAAACGGTCTCACCCTTATATGATCTTTTTAACCAAAAACCACCGACATATTTGAGTTTTATGAAAAGATTTACATTTGTATTTCTATTTACATACTCCAGGTATTGCACTGGAAATACGCCACACAACAAATAATAAATGGTTTGATTCTCCACTGTTTTGTTAATTTAACCACTTTTGTCTGGTTTCTTGTATTAGAATAAAAAAAATAAAAAATAAAAAATAAATAAATGAATAATTATTCAGAAATCGTGAGATGCGGTCTGGTGTGATGTAGGTTTCAGAAAAACATTTTCTTTATCGTGCCAGCGTTTCGATCTTCATTGAGATCATCTTCAGGGCTCAATAAAGATTGAAACGCTGGCACGATAAAGAAAATGTTTTTCTGAAACCTACATCACACCAGACTGCATCTCACGATTTCTGAATAATTATCTATTAACGGTCACTAATCACCACTTAAATAAATAAAATTAAAATAAAAAATAAAAACATTAAAATTTTTAAAGTAATAAAAAAAAATATAAAAAAAGAGTAGAAACAGTGATTGTGTCTGAATTATTGAGGATGATGAAAACACAGACTATTCATAAGTTCCTCATTGAAGATGGCACAATGCCAAAACGCGTTTGATTTCAACAAACCTGCCAATGATGATAGACCCAACAAGTGACCCAATCGGCATTGTGGTTCAAGACGAGTTTACCGACTCATAGATGGTCAAGAGGGTTCTAGCGAGGGGGGGGGAGAGTGAACCCATTTTTTCATTTAAGGCAGTCTGGAGCTCCAATAATCAAATGGAACATTTAGCCAGTCAATGGATGCGACAAAAAATATACAATAATTACATGTACAACATGCCGAATTTTCCACAAAATTTGCTGTTCTAAAAAATCTCCACTGATAGACAAACTGCTATCGACCGATGTAAACTCACCATTCCTTCTCCATTTTTCTAAACTCCTTTATATTATGGATCATTTTTCCTACTTCTCCTAGTTTACTTCCCATCATCCAAAAGTATTTGAAAAAATTCTCCTTAAAAGACCATTGCCAAAATTAAAATTTTTAAACCTTCTCCCAGCTCATCAATTTAGCTTTCACTATCACTATTCCACAGTTCAGAAAGAGTTTCCTGTTGTATACCATATATTTTTCTCCTTTGAGCATAAAGAATATTGCATGGCTTGATGTGGCACAATTGTTTGATCATGTGAGGCAAGGGACTCCTGTACAAATTAAAGCAAGTCTTTCCAAATACCCTCTATTTAACAAGGTCTGATGAGGATCTGATTACTCTGAATTCTACCCTCTGGCTGTGGGAGTACTGCAAGGCAGTGTGCTCGGACTACTTATACTGCAGATGTTCACACCTACCTCCCTCCTGGCATCTTTTGCCAATGACACAGCTATACAATCCTCTAACCCAATCCTGCAGTTGCTTCGGAAAATAAACATATGACATGTATAGTAGACTGTTGTCAATAGAAAATGAAGATTAATGAAAGAAAATGCTTTCAAGACACATTTACACTCTGAAGAAAATCTCTGATAATATACCACAACGATGTTTGCCCAAATCTGACTGTGTTCTTTACCTTGGGTTCAACCTCGATGCTTAACATGGAAGCAGCAAGACATAAACAGATACTATGGTCTACTCTTAATAACTTATAGAATGACAATCCAATCTATCAGGGAAAAAAACTTACACTCTACAAAACATTACCGATTTGGACATCAGGGATAGAACTGTGGGGCATTGCTAAGCCTTCTAATATTCAACGTCTCCAATCTTTGGATCAATTATAAATGCTCCATAAGTCCAGATCATGCCTGAAATACTAACTCCACAATGATCTTAAAATTCCAAAAATTTACGAAATTTTACAATAATCTCTACCATCACCATAATAGACTCGCCTAAGCCTTGCCCAACAGAACCCATCCCTAAAATCCCTTAAGGCATCTTAAGAGGAAATGACTACATGATGGTTCTTTCTCAGGATTAGTTAAGTGAAGTGGGATAGTGATTATTTGCTCTTCCTCAATGTAAATATGTAAATTCACTAATTTCGTGGTCCGCTTGACCAATTAATGCTTGACAATTAATTAAGGTTTTTTGTTGAGATGAAAAAAAGTTAATGGCACGACAGGGATTCGAACCCACGACCTTCGGCTAGATACGCCGCTGCTCTACCACCTGAGCTATCGTGACCTCGATCCACTCGCACATCAACTCCCCATCTCAACCCCACCTTATGAATTTTCCCTCCTTTTGCCATTTTTCAAATGTCGTGTAATCGATTTGGATTCTCGAATCAGTTGATGTCCGAGTGGATCGAGGTCACGATAGCTCAGGTGGTAGAGCAGCGGCGTATCTAGCCGAAGGTCGTGGGTTCGAATCTCTCTCGTGCCATTAACTTTTTTTCATCTCAACTAAAAACCTTAATAAATTGTAAAGTAAATATGTAAATAGTTGTAAATCTATGTATCCTCAAATGACCTATTATAAACAGAAAGGGCAGAGTTAATAAAATATTTAAAAAAAAGAAAAAAAAAAAAAGAAAAGAAAAAAAAAAAAAACCAATTCTCTTTACTGAATGTAAAACCTTATCTTTCTTCCAGAGTGCCTTCTGCTGGTCCTACTCTTAGATTTCAGACCTTTCTAAGTAGTCTCCGACCCAAATAAGCCCTTGTCCTCCCTTATCCAATATTTCTCATGTCTTCAAGCAAACAGTTGCTCCCCTTTGTTTTGGCTGTTATGTTAAGAGTTCCCTATATTCATAAAATTTAGCTCCCATTTCCAAATTTACCTTTCCATCACACCTCCTGACTTGCACATTTATCACACAATGATTACTTGTGCATAAATGTACTGGACAATGTTAGTCTTTAGTTTTGTTTCGAACTGTTTATTTACAGCATAATTTCAATGCGTGTGTTGTGTAAATGAATATAACAATAGAAATGATAAATGATAGAGTGAGTGTGGTGTTCAATACTTTTTAAAAGGATAGTTCCTACTCACAGTAAGTTGTTTTTTGCAACGATCCGGATTTCGAGCCTTTTAGCTCATCATCAGGTTGAAGGACTTCTACAACCACGTCTCTCGACATGAATTGCCAAAGTGAACCTCTGATACCTCCGCCAACGCGACGTTCTAATTATCAGCTGATTTTTTTAAATGACGCTCAATTTGAACGTGCGAAGCGCGGAAATTATAACACAAATAAATATTAGAATAATAAATACTTAATATTACTATAAATTACTATAAAAATAATATCAATTAAAATGGTTAGATTAATTATTTGGATGTTTGATATTATTTATGTACATATTTAAAATGGGAGGTAGATCAAAATCTGTTATATTATTAATGCATTTATCACCATGTTCAATTTTACATTTTTTAATTTCAAATTTCTCAAACCAATCTAGTTCTTTCCCTTTGTTGAAACTATGTAACACTCTTGTATTTAAATTTGAATTGAAATTATGTTTTGTTTCTTTTAGATGGTNAAGAGTGTTACATAGTTTCAACAAAGGGAAAGAACTAGATTGGTTTGAGAAATTTGAAATTAAAAAATGTAAAATTGAACATGGTGATAAATGCATTAATAATATAACAGATTTTGATCTACCTCCCATTTTAAATATGTACATAAATAATATCAAACATCCAAATAATTAATCTAACCATTTTAATTGATATTATTTTTATAGTAATTTATAGTAATATTAAGTATTTATTATTCTAATATTTATTTGTGTTATAATTTCCGCGCTTCGCACGTTCAAATTGAGCGTCATTTAAAAAAATCAGCTGATAATTAGAACGTCGCGTTGGCGGAGGTATCAGAGGTTCACTTTGGCAATTCATGTCGAGAGACGTGGTTGTAGAAGTCCTTCAACCTGATGATGAGCTAAAAGGCTCGAAATCCGGATCGTTGCAAAAAACAACTTACTGTGAGTAGGAACTATCCTTTTAAAAAGTATTGAATATAACAATGGTAAAGATTCAAATTTACCGTCTTTAGCGATGATTTTCTATAGAAAGACAGCGGATGCCATTAAAAACAGACATCATTTTGAAGTGGCTTTACCTGACAGACAAAGTAGGCAGTCCCCCCGACAAAGCACAACATGGCTCCGATGTAGTGAAGCTGCCAGAGGTTTCCGACTTGAAAGTTGGCCACCATGCTAAGCCCAAAGCATGACATATAGCCGACATAGGTGGCTATATTGTTCCAGGAGAGTCTCTGGCTTATTTTAGACGTGAACGTGGCGAACTTTTCCACTTGCAGATGCCTCACGAAAACGCACAAAGCCACTAGAAAAACAAAAGAACTTTATTTTCTTTAGGTAATGACCAATTACAATTTACAAATTATCAACCTGCAAAGAAATATTAGAACATATATAGAAAATTTCATTCAGTAATTTTGAAAGAAAGCAGTTTTATGCTGCTTATGCTTATTTTGCGCAAGTCCAAATCCGTTGCATACCTTAATGTTTTTAAGGCTAATACCCCAAAATTACTGGTAGCAAACAATTATCAATTATAATTACATCATTTAAACAGTTAACATAAAAATTGTATTTTGTCTTGTGGACCTTTTATCAAAAAATAGTTTAAACTGAAGACCATGTTGTCGAATACAAACTTACATTTTCACTCATTTTCATTATGAGAAATGATTGTGTTTGAAGTTTATTACTATTATTATGTTTACCTACCGACCCGAGGGGTAGAAAAAGAAAATCAACATTTCCAGGAAATTTCCTTAATTTATTAATAATTTCAAACCATCCTAGAGCCGTTTGGTGGAGGCTTTCCAAAGTTGCGGCTCTTATTTTTTTCAGAAAAAATTAAAAATTTGGGGTTCCTCTTTGAAATAAAAAAACTGACGTCGAAAAAAAATTGGTTTTGGAATATACGCAAAAATGTAAGGGGTTGCCATTGGTCTCGTTTTTTGAATCTGTTCAAAAAATAGGGAAAACCTGTTTTCGCAGGTTAAAAAAAAACCCGTGTATTAAAAATTGATTAAATGTAATATGTAAAATGAGCCATGCAGAAATAAAAATGATAAAAAATCCAACAAATATTTGGGAAGTTCTTTTAGCAATTATGGTAAATTAAAATACAAGTTGCTGTTTTACTTGTTTCTAAGTACATTTCATTTCCTGGTAAATAAATCGAGCGAATAATTTTTAATTTTTTTTATTATTCATTATATTTAGTGGTCTATTGACCAAATTACTTCTTTTCATTATTAATCTTTTTATGCAAGGTTTTGGTTGAAATGAAAAAGCTAGTGTCACGAGTGGGATTCGAACTCTCGACCTTCGGCTCAATACGCCGCTGATTTAACCACCCGAGCTATCGGACACCAAAAAATGGTAAAAAGGAGGGAAAATTCGAAAGGTTGTAAGTTGTGATGGGGAGTTGGTGTCCGAGCGGATTCATGAGTTCGAATCCCGTTTGAGACATTAGTTTTTTTAGTTCAATCAAAACCTTACATAAAAAGATATTTTATTTATAGTTTGAATCTTCCTTGAATTATTTTTGATAGAGAGAGATTTTAAATTCCCAATTTTTTGTGATGTAAAGGTGATCGACCAGTTTCTATTCACAATATGATTGATCGGGGATGTGTGGTCCAATGAATGATTTGTATTAAAAAAAAAAACCTTGAACGCTGTCAATTGGAGTATTTCAAGGATGGTAGAAATGGGATGTTAGTTTAACAATTTCTTTCCGTCTCCTCATCACAATGAAGGTTATGAGTCCACGTGGAATACTAGTAAACAGAGATTCTACGTTTAAGGATACCAGCATTTCATCATCTTCGACTGTCTGTTTTCATGGTACTTCTTTTACCTTGTGTGAATTTGTTAATTTTAAGATGTCTGCAAGATTTTTTTTTTTAAGAAGAAGAAAAATAACTTTATTCTGGGACTGGCGTCCCCTAAGAATAATTTACTTGAAATAAATAAAGGAAGTTCCTTCTATGAAGTTAAAAGTAAAAAAAGATAGAAATCTTGGCACAATGTATACCAGTAAGGCAGGACAGAAGAAAAAATTACGAGAATATTAAACAAAAATAACAAATGTTAACGTGAGGTCTCTGCTTGGAGGGAGAGGAGGTGATTATACAGGTGGGATTTAAAGGAGGAAAAGGAGGCAGCGTGACGAATAGAAAGGGGAAGGGAGTTACAGAGTTTAGGGGCTCGGATCAGAAAGGATCTTTCGAAGGTATGGGTTGTATGTTGCGGAAGGTTAAGGTCGATTGAGCGGGTCTGACGAGTGAGATGTGAGGAGTTGAATTGGAGGGATTGGATGATGTAAGGAGGACAACGAGTGTGGATGGACTGGAAAAGAAAGCAACCTAGGAAATACTGTTCACGGAAGGAGGGGAATAGCCAGGAAAGTTGGGAATACAACCCCGACTCCCGGGATCCCCGTGGGGTCCCCAAATCTTACGCAATAATTCATAATACGCTTCAATCGCGCGTTCTCCCCCTCCGAGAGACCACCGTATGCCAAACAGCTATAATCGAAAAAGGGAAGTATAAGGGAAGATACAAGGAGTTTGCCGGTGGAGAAAGGTAAGAGAAGCCAGGACCGACGAAACAGACTGAGGGAGGCAATGGAATGGCGGGAAATTTGGGAAATGTGAGAATGCCAGGAAAGGTTTTGTTCAAAGACTACTCCTAGGTTGTTAACTGAAGAGCAGAAAGGGATGGGATGGTTATTTAGCATGAGAGGTGGGATGCTGGGGAGGGAATTGAGGAGTTGCCTGGACCCGATAATTATGGCGGTGGATTTGGACGGATTGAGGACTAGGGAATTTTTATGGGCCCATTCGTTGATGGAGTTTAGGTCTTTTTGGATCTTGAGAATGGCCGAGGAAGATCGGTGGGGTGGAAGGATATGTATATCTGGGAGTCATCGGCATATAGGTGGTAGTTACAGGACTGGATGGAGTTGGGCAGGTCATTGATATAACTGGAAAAAAAGGATAGCCAAAGCCTGGAGTGTTTATCGATGAGACAATAGGTCGAAATAGTGTACCTATTTTATGTACTTTTGGAAGTCCATATATTTTTGGGCATATCGCATTGTTCGTTTTTAATTGTGACAATTGTTTTTTGTTAATATATTTTTCTTTTAGTAGGGTTTCCATTATTTCATTACTTTTCGTTTGGATCTTTTTTTCTTACTTTATTGATATTATTGCCCTTTTGTAAAATTTTCATTTCTTCTCGTAGTGTGATTTTTGCTTATTTACTGTCAAGTTTCCTCTGTCAGCTTACGGTTATTTTGTTAGGATTGATTTAGTTTTGTTTTTTGACATTCCGACCGCATCCCCGATCCCACTAAATATATTGCCAAGTTTTTATGTTTAGTGCTATAATTACTTTTTCTACAATTTCCAAATATTACATAATTATATACATAGAGAATATATACAGAAGAGAAACATGTTCAAATTTATAAGTTTGAAAAAAACAAGCAGAAAATGTATCCTTTCAAGTAGTGATTACAACATACAATTATTTTGTATTGTTTGAAGTGTTGAAAAGGGTTGTGACAAATGTTGGAGGACAGCTGAGATATAATCGGTTCCCTCCCGTTTCCACCAATCAACAGAATTGTCCTATCATTCATGTATTGGATGGAAGAGGGGCGATGTATCCGAAAAGCGAGACCGTGCGGTCATTATAAACGGATGATACGAGTTCGGGCAAGGGCTTTTTTCCCCCTTTTTCCTTTTTTTTTCTCTCCCTCGCAACCCGGATTCCCTTCCATTTATGTTCTAACACCGGACTGAGAGTCTCCGACACGGTTTTTATCAGGGGGAACGTGTGTTATTGTGCGTGTCTCTGATAACGTACCGTGTTCGATCCTTCTTCTCCCCTTCGAACACAATCTAAAAGTCACAGGGACGTTTTTGGCCTCTTTTCCAGAAGGTCAGAGTTTAAAGCCGGGCTTTTATTATCCTAGGGGCCGTTCATTACCTTCGTTTGCAATGGGCGGCTTTTGGTTTTTCTTTTTATCCCGCATGATCCTAATGGGTTTTCTCTTAGACTACGATTTAGAACCCTGACCAATTCAAAGGGTTGAATTCACAATAACTTTGAAGAAAATTACTTTAATTACAAACCCTCCTCTCTCTATCCGTGTGTGTGTGTGTGTGTGTGTGTGTGTGTGTGTGTGGTGTGTGTGGGTGTGTCAAACGTCATATGGTGTTTCTACACCCAAGGTTCAACAAAAAATATCTTTTGAATCTTGAGATATTACTGGCTTTGTGTTGGTTGTTTTCCCGATAAAAATTGTTACTCCATAAGAATGGGTTTCTTCTGAACCCTTGGTCCTAAAACAGATTTCAACACGCTACTAAATCACTCATTAAAAAGTGAAAAAAAACCACTGCGAGGTATCGGAAGAAAGAGGTTGGAGGTTGTACAAACCAGCAAACCCTTTAGTAATTTTAACCAATTAAAATTTGTTCCATTAAACTAGTGTCAAAGGAAATAAGTAGAAATACAAGTAGTTGGAACAAAGAATTTTAATTTCGTTAGAGTTGCTTATTTCAAGAATTATTCCAGGTGTCCAACGAATTTTTGACCAGCCTATAGGATTTCCAAAGTTTCATCTTCTTTGGTCAAATCCTAAAGTGGAAAGTTTCAAAATGATCTTCACTCTCTGCTTTTATATTAACGATCCATCTTCATCGGTTATTTTTGCTCCATAGTTTTGATGACCTGATGACATCTTTCACCACGTTCTTCACCGTCTACAATCCAGCTAACGTTCTTTCTTCTTTTGTATCTTGCTCCATTGTTTTGGATGTCCTGTAGAAAACTTTCACCAAGTTTTTCACTGTCTGCCTTCATATTAACGTTACATCTTCTTTGATAATATTGCTCCTTCGTTTTGATGTCCTGATGGAATCTTTCACCATGTTCTTCACTGTGTGCAATATTCATTGGTTATCTCTGCTCCATCGTCTTGATGCCCTGGTGGGACTTTTCATCATGACATTCTCTCTCTCTGCTTTTATATTAACTTTCCATCTTCTTTGATAACTATGATCCATCGTTTTGATATCCTGGTGGAAACTTTCACCATGTTCTTCGCTGTCTGATATCAAGTTGACGTTCGATCTTCAATGGTAAATTATGTTCCATCGTTTTGATGTCGTAATGGAACTTGTCACCACGTTCTTCACTGTGTGCAATTAAGGTAACATTCTTCTTCTTCTTTTGTATCTTGCTCTATTTGTATCTTATTCTATTGTTTTGGATGTCCTAGGGGAACCTTTCATCATTATATTTTCGCTCCCTGTCTTTATGTTAACATTCCATCTTCATTGGTTATCTCTTGTCCATCTTCTTGATGTCCTGGTGGGACTTTCACCATGATATTCTCTCTCTCTCTCTCTCTCTCTCTCTCTCTCTTCTCTCTCTCTCTCTCTCTCTCTCTCTCTCTCTCTACCTTAAAATTAACTTTCCATCTTCTTTGATAACTATGATCCATTGTTTTGATATCCTGGTGGAAACTTTCACCATGTTCTTCGCTGTCTGATAACAAGTTGACATTCGATCTTCAATGGTAAATTATGTTCCATCGTTTTGATGTCGTGATGGAACGTTTCACCACGTTCTTCACTGTTTATTTAGAAATCGTCAGATGCGGGTGATGTAGGTTTCAGAAAAACATTTCCTTTATCGTGCCTACGTTTCGATCCTTATTGAGATCATCTTCAGGGCCCGGGATCCACAAACACTGCCCACATTCAACAAACACACCTAGGATGTGGAAAAGTGAATTTATACAATGCAAAATATATTTTTTTAAATATGCAATTCACTTTTTATATTTTTCATTGTATAAATGCACTTTTCCACATCCTAGGTGTGTTTGTTGAATGTGGGCAGTGTTTGTGGATCTCGGGCCTGGAGATGATCTCAATAAGGATCGAAACGTTGGCATGATAAAGAAAATGCTTTTCTGAAACCTACATCACACCAGACCGCATCTGACGATTTCTAAATAAATATCGATTAACGGTCACTAATCACCACACAGTTCTTTACTGTATGCAATTAAGGTAACATTCCTTCTCCTTTTGTATCTTGCTCTATTGTTTTGGATGTCCTAAGGGAACCTTTCATCATGCTTCATTGGTTATCTCTGTTCCATCGTCTTGATGCCCTGGTGGGACATTTCACCATGACATTCTCTCTCTCTCGCTCCCTCTCTCTCCCTCCCTCCCTCTCTCACTCTCTCTCTCTCTCTCTCTGCTTTTATATTAACTTTCCATCTTCTTTGATAACTATGATCCATCGTTTTGATACCCTGGAGGAACCTTTCAGCATGTTCTTCACTGTCTGATCACGTTAACGTTCCTTCTTCTTTGCTATTTGCTCCAGCATTTTGATCCCTGATGGCACCTTGATCTTCAATGTCCTTCATGTTAACACTCCACCATGTTTGGTACCATTGCATCTTTGTTTTGATGTCCTGATGGAACCTTTCACTATGTTCTTGAGGGTCCACTAACTAGTCAACTTTCCATCTTCTTTGATACGGTTTCTCTATTGTTTTGATATCCTGATGAAACCATTTCCATCATTTTATAAGCTGCTTCGTACCGATTTTTTTAGTTAACTGGAAATAGGGTTGTTTCTGTACTTTTTACTGTTGGCTGCTAATCAAATTGAAGTTAGAATTGGTTTAATGTAAATTAATTTTCAAATGAAAAAAATTTCCATATCTTTCTTTCAGTGTTAAAAAATCCATAACTTCTAAACTTATTGTCCCATCTTCATGAAACAAATCTAGTTTTCCTTAAAACTAATGCACTGTTACTTAAAAATTGGTTCAATTTTAATCAAATATCTTTCAATTAATTAAGGTTTTTGGTTGAGATAAAAAAGTCAGTGTCACGAGGGGGTTTCGAACCCACGATCTTCGGCTAGATACGCCGCTGTTCTACCACTTTGGAAAAATGGCAAAAAGGAGGGAAAATTCAAAAGGTGGGGTTGAGATGGGAAGTTAGTGCCCGAGTGGATCGAAGTCACAATAGCTCAAGTGGTAGAGCAGCGGCTTATCTAGCCGAAGATCGTGGGTTCGAATCCCGCTCGTGACACTGAATTTTTTATATCAACTAAAAACCTTATGTAATTGAAAGATATTGATTGGTCAATCGGACCACGAAAACTAGTGAATTTATTAAGTTAAAATGAAGTGTACTTCACTAAAGCTCTCCGTGGCCATTTCATTTGTCGCCGAGAATCAAAATAGATTACACGACAATTGAAAAATGGCAAAAAGGAAGGAAAATTCAAAAGATGGGGTTGAGACGGGAAGTTGTTGTCCGAGTGGATCGAGGTCACAATAGCTCAAGTGGTAGAGCAGCGGCTTATCTAGCCGAAGATCGTGGGTTCGAATCCCGCTCGTGACACTGACTTTTTTATCTCAATTAAAAACTTTAATTAATTGAAAGATATTAATTGGTCAAGCGGACCACGAAAACTAGTGTATTTAATAAAATATTTGAATTGTACGTAAAAATTAAAATTAAGTTGCAAATCATCTGTGTTAAACTATCTATGTTAGCCCAGACACCCTCTGTAAAGATAGATACTGAAAATGGGAGTGAGAAAGCAAAAGGGCTAAAGAATTGGCAAATACTAACAATAGGCAATTTACGTGTTTACTTTTGAGGTCAAATCAAGCCATTTTGTATTTTCTTTTTTGATGCTTGAATAAAATAGTTAAAAAAACAAATAAGTCAAATTTCAAATATCCTTGTCCATACTTTCTGTACGTATTTCCACAATGAATTTCCCGAATTAATACTTATCTGAACCAATCGAGAAAATTATTCATTTTCTGAATTTTTTTTTGTTTAATTCCCGGTTATTTCGACGAAAAAACAAACCAAGACAGCAAAACAATGGGAGTTACCGTACTTGTATTGCCCTGGAAAAAAATCATTTAACAACGCCCTTTGTTCCGGCTCAGAACTGATGGGATCCAGGTCTTCATCAAGCAGATATTGGGTTTGAAGTATTCGATTCGTCTTGCCTAAGTCTCAAGCAGGCCTATATATTCAAGAGAAGTAAATAAGTCCTAAGAAGCATTCGTCTTTTCCGAGCGATTTATATTTTATTAGATAATGTTATAAAATAAAAACCTTTTCCTGTTTCATATTGTGGTGACTGATAAGGGTTATTAGTCTCATACCAGTGATTATGAATATATCTTGTCTTTATTTTCCAGTAAAAAATATAACAGTATCTTTTAAAAATTATATAAAAAAAAGAAAAATGATAAACCCAGGTGTGATTACTAATTAATCCTCCCGTGAGTCATGCCTGTCTAATCTTGGATTGAATCATATTTTTCAAATTCTTCATAATCGAGTTCGTTCTGAAGTGTAGTTGATTAATTGATATTATATAAAAAAATGACTAAAAGGCAGGCTTGAGATATTCATAATGTTTTTCTATTTGTCAATTCAAAAAGTACATTTCAGTTTTTTGAAAAGTAAGTGTTTTGCTTCGTTTGAAACGACAACCTTTGTCATCATCTTATCAGTTCATAAAATAAATATTAAAAAAATTTCTCTGGGTAGAAAATTTTTTCTTACTTAGTATGGAAGTGATGTTGAGGAGTTGTGAAAATATGCAGCTTTCCGGTGCCAGGTCTCCAGTGTCGCTGATGTACGGAAATGCTGGTGTGACATGGTTGAGCTGTACAGCTATGACGAACCTAAAAATTGAAAAATTACACAATACAACAAAAAACAAACCTGATTTAAATTTATGAATTTGCATGCCATTATTAAAAAAAACCCTCAATAGTTTCTTCTAGTTGAACCGAAATTTTGGGCGAATCGCATAATCCAAGGATATGATTAAGGAAAAATTTATTTAAAAATAATACATGAGGTTTATTTGTTAACTTTATTTTCTTTAGATTTTGCAATGGTTCTCATTTAATATCAACATTAATGTTAAAATCTTTCAATTAATTAAGGGTTTTAGTTGAGATACAAAAGTCAGTGTCACGAGCGAGATTCGAACCCACGATCTTCGGCTAGATACGCCGCTGCTCTACCACTTGAGCTATCGTGACCTCGATCCACTCGGACACCAACTTCCCATCTCAACCCCACATTTCGAATTTTCTCTCCTTTTTGCCATTTTTCAAACGTCTTAAAATTTTATCCCAACTAAAAACCTTAATTAATTGAAAGATATTAATTGGTCAAGCGGACCACGAAAACTAATGAAATTAATGTTACAATTCATCATACAAATCAAAATTTAATTGATTACTTTCAAATTTCAAATAGCTTTTTATAGCATTACAGAATTATTCAGAAAAAACATAAACTATAAAGTGTATTATATTACGAGGGGAGGATGGTCAATATGTGCTTACGTGGTAGCACTCTTAGAATTAATGTAAAAGGAGGCTGTCCACAGGGAGGCTTTTTGTCACCTCTTTTATGGCTAATTACAGTAAACAGCTTAATAGAACTTCTGAATAAGTCAGGTTTCTACAGTCAATTATTTTCAGATGAGGTACCGTAATGCTCACAGGTAGGGATCCCTTGACTCTTTCACTACCGATGGAAAACGCCATGGGATTGCTTTATAGGTGGTGTGACAAAGGTTTATCAATTAATCCTGCTAAACTAGAATTGATAATGTTTAGCAGGAGAAGAACATTAGGTAATTTTAAAAACCCTAAATTTCAGGGCATAGAATTAAAGTTAGTGGATTCCATGAAATTGGAAAGGTCATATTAATAACATATACAGGAAAGGCACTATATCAATGGTACAATGTTGGAAAATTGTCGGTAAAACACTAAGCATCAAACCATGGGTAGCCAAATGGCTATATACTGCAATTATTCTATCTAGATTATTTTTCGCAGCTTTAGTGTGGTGGAAAGGTCTAGAAAATCAAGGGAATAGTAATAAATTAAGGTCATTTCAAAGACTAGGTTGTTTGATCATGACAGGAGCATTTTCAACTACACCCACCCTAGCACTTGAAATCATAACCAATACCACAGCCCTTCACATTGAGGTTAAGGTCAGAGAACTAATCAGCTGCTACAGATTAATTAGCGAGGGCAGCTGGAATCATAAGTGCAACAACATAGGTCACTCGAAAATCATACAATTATTGAGTAAGGTTAACGGTCAATTATTAAGCGTTAGTGATAAAACGATTAAAACCCCTTCGGGGAAAAAGCACTTTCAGGCTAGACACTGCCGAGACTCTCCGGAGATTCAAAGAATCCGAGTGCGTACTTACCTTAAGTGTGTGGTTAGGACCATTAAACATTTAAGGAATTCTCAGAATAGTTTGTAGCTAACTGCGTACAACTGAACGTTCAAATCTGTGCACCTTTCATTTTCTACTTTAACAACCCTGTGCTCAGTTGGATTGCATGGACCCCTTCGGGGAAAAAGCACTTTCAGGTAGTCACCCCTCGTGATTATGATTATAGTCTGGATGATGACCATCGTAACATAGACTCCTACACAGATGGATCACTTATCAAAGGAAGAGGGAGTGGTGCAGTAATCTACATACCAAAATTAGGAATCAGCATCTCCTCCCCTCTTGGCAATAACACCTCCGTTTTCCAGGAGGAAATCTGGGCCATCAATGTGTGTTGTAGAACACTTATGGAAAATAAAATTAAGGAAAAAGATATTAAAATCTTTTCTGACAGTCAGGCTAGTCTTAGGGCATTACAAAAAGATTTGTCAACCTCACGACTGGTGGAGGAAACTATAGATCTTATCAATAGGATCTCTTTCAGGTTTGAGAATAAGGTGACCCTTATTTGGATACCAGCACATAAAGGACACCATGGCAATGAAAAGGCGGATGGCCTAGCCAAAGAAGGTTCTAATACTGCGTTTGTCGGGCCACAACCGGTATTACCTCACTCTATGAGCACAGCGAAAGAGAGTATCAATAACTGGGGCATGAAACAATTCCTTAGGGAGTGGAATTTATCCCCCGGACATAGGCAATCGAAAGAGTTTGTTAAGGCGATCAAGCCAGCAGAATAGAAATGGCTATTCTCCATCTCAAGGAAGGGAATTAGGAGGCTGGTATTCTGACGGACCACTGCCCACTGAGAAGACACCTCTTCTTAATGGGTATCCTACCAGATCCTTTTTGCCGCTTCTGCGAAATAAAAGAAGAAACGGCAAGGCACTACCTCGCAGAGTGTGATAGGTATGCTAGGTCTAGATTTGAAATCTTTGAAGGAGAGGACATCACCAAATCACTCCCCAAAAATTTTGACATAATAGCATAACCAATAATTAACCTTTGTTTTCAAATCCATGGTGGTTCAAATTACATGAACAAAAGATACTATTTGTCACTGTATTTTTAACACTAAATAATAAATAATTAAAGAAAAACAAAACGAAGTTATGGTGCCTTTGTAGGGAGGGGGAGAACATGGCAAAATTTACGGGTTTTTTATGTTCAGTTAAGGTTTTTGATATCCCCGGCCTCATAGTTTTCCCAAGGATCTGAAATAAATGGTCCAAGCAAGTCCACAGTTAATCTAAGCAAAAAATCTCTATTGCCTGATTGTTGTAAAAATTGGCATTTAAGGACTTGAAAATGTTTAAACCAGATTTACAAAAAATATTTAAGCGGCCTAAAATATTATTTAATCTAGGCTTCTAGGGTTCGTTGGTTTCTAAATTTTTTCGCTGTAGAATCACCATAAAAACTTTAATTAAAATTGGTGATCTAAAATCCCACTTTCTACTACGTAGGAAAGTGGGTGAAAATATTTTTTAACAAGAAAAAAGTTGATATGCATTCGTTTTTGCATCGAAAATAACTTTTGCAGAAGAGTTTTAACATTTTTCGAATTCTTGCCTCAAATGCTTTCACGGATTATAAAAATAGTGAAAAGCTTGATACTTTTACGACCTCACCGATGAAAGTCTATTCCGACCCTGTAAGCTACACGTAATGGCATATACGTGGTCTCTGTAAAATAAATTAGAATAGGAGACAAAAAAGAACGTTCGGGAAATTTTTGTTGATATTTCAGCCTCATTTTTCTTACCTTTACTAACATAAAATTTGAACGTTGTAGACATAAGCTGAAAGGTGGGAAAATCACGTTACTAACGGTTGTAATCCCTTGAACGTTGGATAAAATCCAGAGGGGAATATCGGGTTTTAAGTAGACAGCGGGTATCTTATAAGAAAAAAATTTCCCCTCTGCTAATCTACCCCAAAAATTATATTTCTGTCAAAATTTGCATTTAAGACTTAAAAGAGAGCTTAAAAAGAGCCAGAATTTCTTTTTCGAAAATATAATTTTTAACTCCATTATATTTCGTGGTCCGATTGATCATATAACATCTTTAAATTAATTTTCGAATTTTCCCTCTTTTTTGCCATTTTTCAAATGTGTAATCAGGATTCCATGCTCGGCGACAAATGAAATGGCCACTGAGAGCTTTAATGAAGATATACTTCGTTTTTCCTCATTAAATCCATTATATTTCGTGGTCTGATTGACCAATTAATTAATTGAAAGAAGTTATTTGGTTAATCGGACCACTAAATATAATGGATTTAATAAGTAAAACAAAGTATAACTTCACTAACACCTCTCCGTGAAAAATCGCAAAAAGAAGGGACAATTCAAAAGGTTATAGGATAAGATTGGGAGTTGGTGTCGGGGTGGATCGAAGACACGATAGCTCTAGTGGTTAGAGTCGCGGCGTGAGTCGAAGGTCGTGGGTTCGAATCCCGCTCGTGACACTAGCTTTTCCATTTCGACCTTACGTAAAAAGATTAATTTATTGATAGAAGTAATTTGGTCAGTCAGACCACTAAATATAATGGATTTAAGTAAAACGAAGTATGTCTTCACAAACAGCTCTCCGTGGCCACTTCATATGTAGACGAAAATCAAATCCTGATTACACGACATTTGAAAAATCCCAAAAAGGAGGGAAAATGCGAAAGGTCGTAGGTTGAGATGGGAAGTTGGTGGACGAGTGGATGGATGTCTGATATCTCAAGAGGTAGTGACGTGCGATACCAGAAAATATTCGATACCAGTATCGAGTACTGGTATCGAAAGAAATATTCGATACTGCTCAAGTATCGACAGAAATTAATCGATACTAACGAGTACTTATTCATATGACTACTTTTTCGTTTATTCATAAATGATCAACTAACTATTGTGGACTTTGGTTAAAATATACTCATGCGTTTAACTAATCAAGAAATCACAGTATTTTTTAAGCATTTTTTCATACAGTAGAACAAGGAAAAGCTGCCAACACATTTCAACATAATAGATATATCAATTTTATCGTTATCGAGTTTTGAAAAAAAATCAACGGCTTTTTGGTTTTCAAATGTTTGAAAAGATAAGACATATTCGTAATGTAATCCGCAGAGTTTACAAGATGCCGACAATGCAGTTATCTTAGTAAAATAACTCATGCCTTACTTTTAGGAGGAGACATGATTAAGAATCTACCTACGAGAAGGAAGGCGAACACTTTTTAGGTACTTGAAGACAAAAACATTTCATAAAAAAATACTGAAATTGAAGTGCGAGGTGCGGCGCGGGAAAGAATTATGAGTTACCAGAATTATCAGCAGAGTTACCAACCACCAAGTCGAAATCTCGATTAACTTTGTTGACATATGCCGCTAGTTGGCGCTCTTAACAATAACTAG